GGCACCAAAAATAACAGACTCCCAGAGGGCAGGTATGGAAATTTATCTCCTGTTATGAAGTCCCAGAAGCTCAGATCACTTATTCCTTGGGACTCCATGCATTTCCATCTCCAAATCTCCCACCCACCACACACACACACACACACACACACACACAACCAAAGATCCTCTGAATGGTATCCTGAGAGATGGAAGAGGTAGGGATTTCTTCAGCACCTCTCATTCCATACTGGTCAGGGGTTGCCACACAGGGAGATAATTCACTCACACCTCCACATATGATGCCTGGCGGGGGGCCACTAGGGGAGTTACACTCTAGTGTCAGGGAAGACCCAGGGTAGAAAATGAGAGTTGGGCGGTGCAGCTGTAGCATAAACTGAGCCATCACTGAGGGCCATGCTGGAGCGGGGCATGCCAAAATTTGGTGAGAGCAAACATAAGAGATCGGATCTTACTGTGTCTCATATATTCTCCTGTGTGAATATTGACCTAGTATTTACTATGCATCATATATTCTTCCATACAGACCCTAGCAAAGTTCTTAATATGCATCATATACTCTTTGGACTGCTTTCTACGTATTAAATTCATTTAATCCTCACAATAACTTATAATGTAGGCACTAGGACTATATCCATTTTGCAGATGACAAAACTGAGGCAGAAAGGTTAATTAAGTTGCCCAGGCTCACACATTACCAAGTGGTATCGCTGGGAGTTAAAGGCGGGCATTCTGGCTCCAAAGACCATGCTCAGACTATGTGTATGAGGCAGTGCTTCTGAGGTGAATACAGAAGAGAAATGTTTGACTTCTAAGCTGGCATAAAATGAGTAACTATGAAAGACACACCTGAGTCACTCTAATGAATGTAAGAAAGGGTAGTGTAAAACTTCAGAGAATGAATTTTGGGGTCAGACAGGCATTGGTTCACTTTTCCAGCCTCTTTCTGGCTACCTCGCATAGACCACTGAAACTTTAAACCTCAATTCTTTCTTCTGTATAATGAACCATATTTATTTCGTAAGGTCGTTATGAGAAGCAAGCTTTTTTAAAATGCAGAGTGTACTCAGTAAGTCCTTAAGAAATAAATGGTAGCTTAAAATTGTGTATTTTAGGGAATTCTGATTATGTCATATGTCTCTTCTGCTTTTGAAAGAAATGGGAAAAAACAAAGCTTGGTGCTGGCAGTCTATGGCTCAGAAGGAGGCAGGCACATTATTTATTTATATACTTGCCTTTTAGTTGAAATTCCTCTAAAATGTTTTTCCTGCCCTTGGCCAACACACACACAAAAAACAAACAATCCTAACACTGAACAGGACTGAGTTCTCTCTGAAGAATAATCCAGAGGCTGCAGCATATATGGAGTCCTGGAGGGAGGGGACCTGAGTTAGAATCCCAGCTCCATGATTACTAACCTGCTGGGTAATTTTTTTTTTCTTAATGTCACTGAGTATTAGTTTTTGTATATTTGAACTGGGTATAATAATAATGCTTATTTAGCAGTGTTGTCCTAATGATCAAGTGATACGAAATAGGTAAAGCAACTGGCCCATACTACATGCCCAACTAAGACTGTCTTGTAGGAAAGAAAATATGGGTCCAAATTCTGTCCAAGTGAAAAAGAATCCTTGCTATGATTTTTTTCCACACTTATTATCCTTCTTATTCTATATTAGTGTTTCTAGGGTCGGGGGGGTATCCTCTAAGTATATTTAAGTTGGTATTTGTTTATTAGCCTAGTGAAATGGCAAGTGGCTAAAGAAAATGGGGCTAGTCTGTGACAGAATGGCTAGGTTTGGAGTGGAAGATTGGTAAATAATAATGGAGCAATGCATGCAAATTTAATTGGAATACAATTTTTGAAGAATCATTTTTGAAGCATGAAATGCATTGCCTTTTAAGAACACAGGGTGGCAAAGAACTAATAATCCAATCAAGAAATGGGCAGAAGACACGAACAGACATTTTTCCAAAGAAGACATCCAAATGGCCAACAGACACATGAAAAAGTGCTCAACATCGCTCGGCATCAGGGAAATCCAAATCAAAACCTCAATGAGATACCACCTCGTATCAGTCTGAATGACTAAAAATAACAAGTCAGGAAATGACAGATATTGGTGGGGATGTGGAGAAAGGGGAACCCTCCTACACTGTTGGTGGGAATGCAAGCTGGTGCAGCCACTCTGGAAAACAGTCTGGAGGTTCCTCAAGAAGTTGAAAATAGAACTACCCTATAACCCAGCAATTGTACTACTGGGTGTTTACAACAAAGGTACAAATATAGTGATCCGAAGGGGTACGTGCACCCCAATGTTTATGGCAGCAATGTCCACAATAACCAAACTATGGAAAGAACCAAGATGTCCATCAACAGATGAATGGATAAAGAAGAGGTGGTATATATCTACAATGGAATATTATGCAGCCATCAAAAAAAAAACAAAAATAAAAACAAAAACGAAATCTTCCCATTTGCAACAACATGGATGGAACTAGAGGGTATTATGCTAAGCAAAATAAGTCAATCAGAGAAAGACAAGTATCATATGACCTCACTGATATGAGGAATTCTTAATCTCAGGAAACAAACTGAGTGTTGCTGGAGTGGTGGGGGTGGGAAGGATGGGGTGGCTGGGTGATAGACATTGGGGAGGGTATGTGTTATGGTGAGCGCTGTGAATTGTGTTAAGACCGATGAATCACAGACCTGTACCTCTGAAACAAATAATACATTATATGTTTAAAAAAAAAAGAAAAGAAAATAGTAGGAAGGGAAAAATGAAGGGGGAGGGAATCGGAGGGGGAGACGAACCATGAGAGACTGTGGACTCTGAGAAACAAACTGAGGTTCTAGAGGGGAGGGCGGTGGGGGGATGGGTTAGCCTGGTGATGGGTATTAAGGAGGGCACTATTGAATGGAGCACTGGGTGTTATAAGCAAACAATGAATCATGGAATACTACATTGAAAACTAATGATGTAATGTATGGTAACTAATACAACATAATAAAATAAAATAAAAAAAATAAAATGGAAAAAAAAAAAGAACAGAGGGTGGGCCAGAACCAAGTCTTATTGGTAGGTGATAAGAATATAGAGAAGAGAGGAGTTTTGAGGTAAGGGCTGTACTTAGTCTGTTTTCCAGGAGATTCAGATGAGACACATTTGGCCACAAAATTGCTTCTTGGGCACTATACCTACAAAATTGGTTGAGCGGCAGTTCTTGTAGTTATGAGGTCTGAGAGTGAGGACTGGGTCATATATAAGACTGCTTATCTTTTGTTTGGGTCTTAGTTTGATATTTGGCCAAAGCCAACATTGGACAGGTGCCTAGTTGCCTCCCAGGAGGTGGTTGGATTCAGAGCATAGCATCTGGGTTACAGCAAAGATCACATCAGGGATATTGTGCATGAAATATCCTGGCACTCACCATTATCTAAATCCATTTGGTACATGGTGTAGACTGGCTCTGGGATTTAGAAATGAAGTTGGCATTACTCAATTTCCCATGTAAATTTAGTGATATTATATTAATAGAAACAGTATATATTTCATAGTTCAAGACAAAGGACCACTCCCAAATAATTTCTGGGAAAACACCCCCCTCGGGGTGGGGGGAGTCTCATCCTTGCCTATAATCTTCTCATGACTCATGCTCTTCCATGGTAGCCGCCCACCTTCCTCCAGCCCACACTCCTCATCCACACTAAGGTACCCTGCCAGTGAAGTCACTGCTTTAGAGTGGTACATCGTGCTGTTTGTTGTGACTTCTGAGAAATGCTACTAACTGTATCAAGAGTACTATTTCCCAACTCACCCCAAGTTGTGACATTCTGGAGATTCCAAAATGATGTTTTGCCTAAGACTTCCTAGGCCAGGAAAAATCATCTATTTTATGCAGAAAGAGAGCAAATACCTTCCCCCTCTTACCTGGAGGCCAATGTACTCTAGGACACTAGAAGGGGTCCTAGCAATGTATTCCCATGATTCTATATTTTATAATATTCACGGCGTATATTTAAACTGCAATCAGTCAAGACTACTGTCTCTTTCTTCTACTCCTCAGTCATTTATAACCCTGTGTCTAGTGGTGTTGGAATGGCTAAGGGTATTTGGAGGATCCAGCTAAGGGAAAGTTGAAATCGAGGACTCTTCAGCTTGGACTTAGCATGTGGTTTGTAGATATTTCTGTGTTATGATTAATATATTTCTAGCCACCCAGTATAGAAATGGGTTTTAGAAATACTTCTGCTGCCCCATCTGCTGGCACACCATTGTGATATGGAGTTCCAGGCCAGATGATTTAATGTGATATTAATGGGTCGTCTGGCATGCAGAACTAGAATTATATGGCTAGAGGGAAAGAAGAAACAAGTTTGAAATGTATGACCCAGGAGCCAATTCTGGAAAATTCTACCATTTTTTTAAATGTGCAAAATTGCAAGCAGAGGATTTGGGTTTCATCAAAGCCGAGAGAAAATGGAAGCCCTCCACTCTCAGAAACATACTTGATGATGTAACATAGATAATTATAAATGTTCCATATGCTTTTTGTCTTGTACATGTAAATCACCCACAGTGGAATTTATCATAATTCTGTGTTTATAAGGGCAAAATTCCAAAAGATACTACAAAGAACGAGTATGCTTATAACTAAAGTTGCATGTTTTATGCATGCTATTGATAATAAAAAGGAATTTTGATCAGTTGCAATAGAGCAAAGGCTGAACTATCTTTCTATTCTATTGTAAAAATCACAAAAATGTCCTATGACTAGGTGGGGATCAAGGAGCATGTAGCCAAGAAATGTAGAAAAAAAGAATTATAGAAGTGTCAAACAGTTAAGAAAAATATCATTTTTGTGGATTGTTGGGGATGTTTGAAGTGCTTATCAACTTTTTACATATTATAACTTATGGTGGCTCCTTTTCTCATACATAAACATTCACTTTTTTTCTTATTCTGTGCTGATAATTTGCATTCATTTCCTTGCAGTGGTACACCTCGACTGTATAAAATTCCAATGTCACAAAAGTTAGATCTGCTTCTGCCTCTGGCTGCTGTACCTTTTGTCATCCAGTCCCGGGGTGGCTGTGCATCGTTTGTGCCTCTGTGCGGCATGGTGAGCTTCCTTTAAACCGTTCACTCAGCTCCCACTGCCCCTTCTCCCCACAGTTTCCAACATGGTGTGTGGGGTTGAGCCGGGGAACAGGAATCATTCTGACCTCTTTCAAACCCAGTGACCTCATCATCTACCTCTAATCTGAATCATTGACCCCCCCAGACCACACCCTTTCAGGCTTTCCCGCCCCAGGCAATCAACACATAGATACCAGGGGAACCTGACTCCTCACACAGATGTGCGGGAATCTCAGGGCTGGCTCATGCAGGACTCCTGCGACAGAGCATCTTCTAACCAAGGTAAAAAAAGAGGAAACAACTGTGTGGGTGTGAGAACCAAAGTTCTTAAAAAATTCCTAGGAACAAGTTTAGGGAAGCTGAGTCACTAGCTTGACAATGGGCAAGAGAAATGCTCTTCTTTGAGCAATAAGTTGCATCACACCACTCTCTGGCCTAAAGCCTTTCTGTAACTTTCCTTTGCATCTGAAATAAAACTGAAAGACCTGGCAATGGTCTTCAAAGTCCTTCATGATCTGCCGCTCCCTCCAAACTTTCTAACCACATCTGTTGTGACTTTGAGCTTTGTTCACCAAATTCTGGGCGCCCTGGCCAATGTTCGGCCCATCTGACTTGCCCAGATTTCCACCTCTGTGCCTTAAAATATACACATCTTACTTTCTGGACATTCTTGTCCATGCTTTTCATCCAGTTTTTATTTTCTCATGCTTAGGATCTCCACTTACATGTCTCAAACTTCTCAAAAAAGTCTTTCATGACCACACTATCTAAACCAGATCCCATCCCTTACTTTCTACCTCAGCATCAAACACTTAGTATTTAGCACTTCTTATATTTATTTGATTAATCTATATACTTACTTGTACACTTTCACCACACTAGAAATTTTGTGGTACCTAGAGGTTCTCCGGAGATATTTGCCTATTACCTTCAAATGATATTATAAATAGAGCCATAGGAACTTATAAAGACGCATGTGATACAACTTTAAACATGTGTACAGTTTCAGATCACACTGCCTGTTGATAGATAGTTGGATAGATGGATAGACAGACGATAGATGATAGAGATGATAGACAATAGATGACAGATAGAAAAATAGATATGTATTGAATTAATACATGGTACATGCATGAATGAATGATTCCATAAACTGAAGATATGGATCAGGAGCAGAGTCAGGTGAATCGGAGTGGGTATGAAGATAAGCATGTATTACGTAGGCCACAAAATTTAAGAAGACTCTCACTCTTGGATCCTGAAAGGTTCTTATAATGTTTCATATGCTGATTCTATACCTCTGTGAACCTAACAGAGAGCCTTCCTAAATTTTCAGCTCTAGCCCTTTCTCTTACCTCATCCTACTCTGAGCCCTGAAGTAGTGACCTGGTAGAGACTCCAAACAGAGACAGATGTCCTCTACTTGCCTTAACTGACTGTCATTTGGGGTGGGGATAATTTATGGTGACCTAAACATTCATGATTGGCATGGACGATTTCACTTCTTAGCCATGTTCTTGCTGGCACAGGTCTTGATAATTCATGGGCTGGTGGTTCTCCATATTCAGTGTGCATGGTGAATCCTGCAGGATGCTAATTTAAAAGTGTAGATTACCATCTTTTACCCCAGAAGTTCTGATTCAGTGATCCTCAGAGCACACTTTGAAACTCACTGCTCTAGTCCTTCTTAAGGTCAGCTCTATGTCCTTTAATCAGCTCAGTGTGAAAATACAACAGGAACTTGTGGCAGAAATCTCATTACAAGGTCACCAAACCCTGTTTTGTTTTCCTTCTAGAAACACAAGCCACAACTCCCACCTGCCTTGAGGTCACGTGAAGCCATGGGACTGATTTCTGGGCAGGAGGGATAAATGTCACATCTGGGTCAGGTTCATAAAACTGCCGAGGGGATCCTCTATGCTCTCTTCCTTCTGTCATTGAACAACCAGATGCAGAGCATAACAGGGCCAATCTAAAGACACAGGACATGAGAGAAACCACTGAACGGAAGGATCCCACATCTCTGACTGACTGTGTGGAGCAGCTTCCCTGGATCCAGCATGATCTGGTCTATAATGTGAGAGAAGACTAAACACTTAATTGTGCTAAGCCACCAAAATTGTGTGCTCAACAGTTAACGTCACCTTCTCTGACAAATATGAAACTCAGTTTTCCCCTCTGATCAAGGTAAAAAAATGTAGTGCTTGGCATTAGCATGCTGTATCACTTTTAAAATTTTCCTTTGTATTCAGCATATTAAATGTCCTGAAATTCATAGGAGATGACAAAGAAACGCATTAGATCCATATTGAAGATGAAGGTGTGGGCTCTAGAATCGGACTACTTGGGTCTGCATCCCAACTTCACCACTTACTAACTGATGCTTGGGAAGGGATATGTAATCTTTCTGAGCCATGGTTTCTCATTTATGAAATGAAGGGGATAATAGCACACTATAAATGGTAATGCTAGAATGGTAACTATTATTTCTGTAATCATCATCATCATCATTAGTACATAGTTAACATGAGAATTAATATTTATTTTTACTAAATATATAATAATAATGTAGTTATAGGATATAATAAACCTATTATATTATTATTACACATCAATAGTAACATTATTGATATTCATGTGTACTAATATTAGTATTATATATTATTATATTTTACATAACATATTAATATTAGTAATACATATTAGTAAATATACGTTATTGGTATTAGTAAAATTGGAAATGTCTTACGTGTATTTTTTTCTTGATCATATTTTCAGGTTTTGCAAATCCAGAGTTTTTATCCCATGTACTGGATATTGGTATTATAATTCTAATTATGTTGAAAATACTCTCAGTTAATCCACAAGGTTATTTTATAGCATTTTTTAAAAGAATTAATGTCTTTTACTTTAGTAAATATGTGATCCTATCGAGACACACTAAGGTATAAGGATACTAGCCACTGACCCATAGCTGCACAGAGATTTTTTTATGTTGTTAGTTTCTACTTCATGAAACTATGCCATGATCTGTTCTCCAGGCTTTTTGTATCTGATTAAAGTAAATAAGAAAATGCCTGAATTTTGTGTTAGTCCTAAGATATAAACAGATTTCAACAAGATGTCAAGTAAATCCAACAAATGTGCATCCACAATTTTTGCCAATATTATTGCAAGAGACACTGAAGTCTCTCTTATGAAAAATTTGACTCAGAAAAGTTTCATCTTTTAAAAAATTGAAGGGGAAGAAAGTGACTCGTTTTACATATCAAAGATAGGCAATCTATATGTTGATACATATTACATTAAAAACGTGTACATGTGTATAACGTTATAATTTAAGAGTTGACAAGAGCAGATTTCCTTTTAACTGCTTTATTGAGGTATAAGTAGCATCCATTAAACTACGCGTATTTCAAGTGTATCATTTGATAAATTTTAACAAATGCCTGCACCCATGAGCTTATCACCACAATCAAGATCAGAAATATATCCATCACCCCCCAAAATTTCCTTGTGACCTTTGAGAATCCCTCCCTCTTTCTTCTCCCCAGGAATCACTGATCTGCTTTTAGTTACTACAGATTAGTTGGCATTTTCTAGAATTTTATAGAAATAGAATTATATAGTATGAACTTTCTGTCTGGCTTTTTGCTTAGCAACATTATCTTGAGATTTACCCATGTTGTTGCATATGTAAATAGTCCATTCATTTTTACTGTTGAGCAGTATTCCATTGTATACATATACCACAATTTGTTTTCCCAATCACCTGATGGGCAGGATTGTTCCCAGGTTTGCGTTATTACAAAATAAACTGTTATGTATATTCATGTACGTGTCTTTGTATGGACATATGCTTTTATTTCTTTTTGGTAAATTCCTAGGGCTGGGATAGTTGGATAGTATGGGAGGTGTATGTTGAGTTTTTAGGAAACTGTCAAACTGTTTTCCGAAGTGGTTGTACCATTTTACATTCCCATACACAGTGTATAAGAATTCAAGTTCTTTCATATCCTCATCAGCACTTACGGTCACTGTTTTTATTTTAGCCATTCTAGTAGGTGTGTAGTGTTGTGTTTTAAATGTGCATTTCTCTAATAACTAGTGTTCGTGATAATCTTTACAAGTGCTTACTTCCATTTGAATATCTGTGCTAAGGTTTCTGTTCAACTCTTCTGTCCATTTTGGGGGGTTGTTTATTTTTAATGTAGGGTTTCAAAAGTTTTTTAAATATCCTGGATATAAGGGGTGCCTGTGTGGCTCAGTCAACCGGGTTTCTGACTCTTGATTTTGGCTCAGGTCATGATCTTGGGGTCATGGGATCGAGCCCCACGTTGGGCTCTGTGCTCAGCATAGAGTCTGCTCATCCCTCTCCCCCCTCCCCCACTTGTGCTCTCTCTCTCTCTCTCTCTCTCTAAAATAAATGGATAAATAGAATCTTAAAAAAATTTTTTTTAATATCCTGGATATAGGTCCTTTTTCAGATATGTGATTTACAAATATTTTCTCCTAGTTTGTGGCTTTTCTTTCTCTTCTTCACAGTGGGCACAAGGTTTAGGATTAGTCTTTTAAGAAAACAGGACACTGGCCTTAAGTCAGTTGTTAACGATATGAACTAAAACAGCAATTGTGTGGCTAAAGCATGCCATATTTACTCACATATGATTTCCACAAGGTTTGGTGGCACCCTGCTTACCTAATGGCCTTTGTTAACATGGGTACCCTTTGTCTTTGACACTCTTCTCATTTTAACTATCTCAGTCTGCCTTATTCATCCTTTAGTACAGTTAGTCATTGAATGCTACCAGAGCATCCTTTCAAATATGTGAATACAATGACATCATTGTTATTTCTATCTCTGATCAAAAGATAAATAACAAGGATTCTGAAGGCCCAGGCCCTTCACCCCCTCACAGAGTGGCGTGACACTTCAGGATATATGATACACAGAGCACAAGAATGTACATGTGACAGAACACAGCATCCCACAGACCTGTGAGAGAAACATACAAACCAGTGCAAGTGTCTCTGGTAGAAGGAAACCTACGAAACATGGGGTCTGCTTACCCCATAGAATGAATAAGGGATCAGGCCTTCATGTGCAAACATGTTCAAACCCTGACTGGGCCACATATCAATTCTGCAAATTTGGGTAAGTCATTTAGTATCTTTGTACCTCACTTTCCTTTTCTAAGATCTTACTCAAAGAATGAGATAATGAGATAATGTATCTAAAACTCACATAACATGGGATCAAATGATACATTTTTTGTTGTTGTTGTCCATAAACAATCAAAGCAGAATAGGAAAAAGCTGTTTGGATCAATAATTGTAACTGATAACATTTACAGAGAGCTTTCCATATGCTAGGGGTACATGCATTGTTATTCCTGTTTTACAGATGAGAAAACTGAGGGAGACAGATTAAAAAAAAAAAAAAAAACCCGTTCACATTGCTACATCTTGAACAAGGACTTTCCCAAAAGCCTTTTGACTGGAATGAAATCCATCAAGGAATCTTGTCTACTTATTGTCCGTCTGCTGAATTCTGTGTCAGGGTTTCTCAACACTGCCAGTGTGGACATTTTGAGCCAGACAATTCTTTGTTGTATGAGACTGTCCTGTCCTTGTACAATGTTCAGCAACATCCCTGGCCTCTATCCACTGAATGCCAGTAGCACCTTTACTCCCAAGTGTGATAACCAAAAATATCTGTGGGCATTGCCAAATGTCCCCAAGAGGATACCAGCATCCCTCTTGAGAACCACTTCAGTAGATAAAATTGCCACTCTGTAAGTAGATAGAGTTTGGGCCTTTGTATAAATCAGTTCATTGCACATCACACTAGACAGTTAATACAGTCCCCGAATTTTGTGCCTGAACCTTGTTAAGTTGTCAGACTGCAATCTGACCCACAAGGATTTCCTGACTATTTAGTGCCTTCCCTTAGAAGAAAATGGAGTTCTCAGTAAATCATCATCAGAAAATGCAGGAAGGCCTGAACTTTTTTTTTTAAGATTTTATTTATTTATTTGACAGAGAGAGACACAGTGAGAGAGGGAACACAAGCAGGGGGAGTGGGAGAGGGAGAAGCAGGCTTCCCCCTGAGCAGGGAGCCCGATGTGGGGCTTGATCCCAGCACCCCGGGATCATGACCTGAGCCAAAGGCAGATGCTTAATGACGGAGCCACCCAAGTACCCCAGGAGGGCCTGAACTTTGACTCCCACTTAAGAAATGGAGCTTTGCAGGTGGTTGTCTCAGTGGTGCATTCAGGATCCTCTGTCACTGTCATCAAAAGCTGGAACATGTCTTTGGGACGCTTTCCTGGCTGGGTGCATCAGTAATGTTTCCAAGCTGTTGTATACAGGAGGCCAATACATTCGATTCAAGGGAAGAGAGCCCTCCAGAGAGCTGGAAGTAGGTCCCTGGGTCTTGGTGGGAGCTTTTGGCCAAAGGAGTCAAAACTGTGGCTTCTCTTGGGCTCCGTTGTGGCACCACTTGCAAATGTTATTAAAACATATTTTCTGGGATCTAGAGGAAGGTGAAAAATGAGACATGTGTCATAAAAATTGCCAGTGGGTCAACTAGGCCCTTATTGAATTGATTCTGTTATGTAGGCACATCCTGTTGGACACTTGGTATTTTAAACAAATACATGTAGCCCAAAAGCCTGGGATAGCTTATTCTCCATCATGGATTTAGTCCTTTGTAAAAGAAGAACTGTGGGAACTGAAAATAAAGGAAGCACATTTGGTGGACTATGGTGGTCTGCTTCTTGGGGAATGAGGGTCAGAGTAAGTGGGAAGCTAAAGGTGTGTGTCCCACCAACTATTTGCTGAAGAAAAAATTTTAATGCTAAAAAGGACTTGGTGGTAATGGTAGGACTTGCTGGGTGAGCTTGGGAATGGCTTCTCCTCTGAAACTCACTCTCCTCCCTTGTAACTTAAAGGAGTCTGACAAGACAATGTCTGATGTCCTACTAATCAAAAGTTATCGGCAGCGGGGAGCCTGGGTGGCTCAGTCGGTCAAGTGTCCAACTCTTGGTTTTGGCTCAGGTCATTACCTCAGGGTCATGAGACTGAGTCCCGCAACAGGCTCCCCATTCAGTATAGAATCTGCTTGAGATTCTCTCCTTCTGCCTCTCCCTTCCATGCTCTCTCTCTCTCCAAAATAAATAAATAAAATCTTAAAAAAAATAAAGTTATTGTCCATGCTATGGCTAAAACCTGGGTTTCCTGACTATTTAGTGCCTTCTCTTAGAAGAAAATGGAGTTCTCAGTAAATCATTGTCAGAAAAGAAGTTTCAGCTCATACTTTTAAGGGTCTCATAGATTTGTTCTTGGATACCAATAATTCAGAGGTGTCCTGAGAGCAAGTGAGATGGCTATCCACTGTCTATCCACTGAGATATTTTCATAACTCACTCCTGAGAGCTTCAGAGGAAATACTTTGATATTCTTGGCGCTGAGGAGGGCCTCTTTTGTTCAGGATAGTGATGGTTCCCTGCCTTTTTGGAACT